CCCGCCCGCCGCCCCGGACCCGCACTCCACGCCACCCGGCGTCGCCGCTGGGCCCTAAAGCCCGTCTACAGCCGACGGCCTACCTCGAGGTTGCCAGGCTGAGACTGGTGGAGCGCAAGCTGTTGTGTCTCCCCAGACTTAGGAGGGCAACAGCCTCTCTCGTTCTGTCCCCAGCTGCGTGTTAATTCACGCCAGAGTCGCCAGCTGACCTTCCATTGATTTTGTCTTTCTTCCCACCAGGCCAATTGGTGTCTAATTGTGGTTCCAGATCTGTCCTCCAAACCCGTTAGGGTCTGCTTAGCATGCATTTTTGTTTTTATTTTTTAGTGAAATTTCCGGGTGGAAAGTGACCACATTTTTGTCTCAACGCTTCCAGGGCCCCAGCGTTTCCATCACATGCTGGGACTGGGCAGCAAACTGCTAGGTACTCTGCTAGCAGGGGGGCCCAGACAGACAGAGCCACAATGACAGAGCCAATCTTGTGGCCACAGATCTTCCCGAGCTGCTATCTGCCCTAGTCACATAAAAATGTGACTCTGGGAAAATGTTTCTGATTCCGTTCCACCTCTTAAGTGGGGCTGCACTACGCAACTCTCCTTGCCCACTTCCTCCTGCTGGATCATACTTGCTGTCCTCGGGCCTCCGCTCTGCCCCACGGCACTTCACCTGGCTCATGGGGTGAGCGGAGGCCAGGTGGGGTGCAGCTCTGCCCACCGTGAGAGCAGGAGGGGCAGGACAGATGCACCTCTTTCCTGGGGTTCCTCACCTCTCCGCCTCCTCACTGGGCTGGGAAGGACTGTAGCGGTTCCCTGACTAACTTGCCCACAACTTTACCCCAAACGTGTATTTGTTCTGATTACCCTGTTGCCTGTCTTATTCAGCAACCTCTGTTCTCCGCATAGAGCCCCAAATACAGTCACTAACAGTTATTTATTAAATACCTATTCTATCCAAAGTCAGCTACCTTAAAGCACACAAAAGAAACTTAGAGCAGCTCACCAGGCCCTGGGGATATGTTAGCTGTTTAAGAAACCAAGATAGACAAAGGGAAAAAAGCATTGCCTGAGGAGGCAGCGAAAAGGACCAGGTTTCTGCGGTAGAGAGCCTGGCAGGAAGTGGTGTTCAGATTGGGCCAGAAAAAGGGCAGCGAGGAGCAGGCAGAGCCTGAGCCAGGAAGGAAAATGGAAACAGAAGGATTTCTATAGAAAGGAGGAGAACACGTGGGGAAGGCAGAAAATGGAATCGCAAGGATGTAGGCCTGGGAAGAGTGGAGCAATTATGAACCAAATCTTTCATTTGGCTGAGAAAACTCCAGTCCTCTTTTGAGTGACTTGCTCAGTGTTAGAGAACAGATTTAGTAAGAAAGCAGGTAGAATGGCATCCACCTCGGTGTGCTTTGTTGTTGTTGTGATAGGGTCTCAGTCTGCAGTTCAGGCTGGCCTTGAGCTCACTTTGTAGGGTAGACTATTCTCAACTCGCAATGATCCTTCTCAGCCTCCGAGGGCTGGGCTTACAGATGAGTGTCACTCAGTGTGTTCCCACTGCGCACTGTAAACCCTATGTAGTACTTAGGAGCGAGACTTGGTCCTCCAGGCAACGAGCCAGCCACAGAACTACTGGCTCACCTAGTACTTGTAAGAATTGCACATAGATGGGAGAAAAGGTGATAGAAAAAGAGGGGAAGGGGAACATAAGCTCACACATTCCAGCGCCCTCTCCCAGGTACCATCCTGCAGCCTGGGAGGCCACAGAGTTTGCAAGCATTGACTCCAGAACAAAACGGGCAGCGCTGAGTCATGACTCAGCCACTCTCTGTGACCTTGGGAAGGTCACCCAACTTTTCTAAAACCTATCATCTTCTATCTTAAGATGACAAACAGCAACAAGTCTCCCAGAATGGAGGTAATGACTGAATAGTGGCAAATGTAAAATCCTCAGTGCAGTCAATTTAAATACTCAACATATGTTTGCTAAGAGTATTTCAACCAACCTCCCAATAGCCCTGTGAGCTAAGAAGACTATAGGGTAGCTGCAGGAAACAATGATGTAGGGTGGGGACAAGACAGCCAGAAAGAAATAGAAAGATACCATATCTTAGGTGATACCAAATACCATGAAGAAAGATAGCAATTCTTTGAAGGAAGATTTCATTCTTTTGGGGTATTATCAACAAATCAAGTAGTAACAAATGCTGGAGGGAGGGGTGCTTCTACATTGTTGGTGGGAATGTACTAGAACCACCACTGTGGAGATTCCTCAAAAACTAAAGCTAGAAATTCCATTTGACCCTCTATTCCCCTTCTAGATATCTTTCCAAAAAGAGTTTAAAAACATCATATACAGGGATACATGCATACCTGTGTTTATAGCCGCACAGCTTGTAATAGCTAAATTTTGGAAGTGGCATCAATGTCCCTCAGTGGATGATTAGATAAAGAAAATGTGATGAAAAAAAAGGAAAATGTGATGTTTATGCAATGGAGTACTACTCAGCCATACAGAAAGATAAGTTTGAGTCATTTGTAGGGAAAGCAAATAAATAGGCCTTGAAACCATAATGTTAAGTAAAATAAGTCAGACACACAAGGTTAAATACTGCATAGTTTCTGTTATATGAGAAATCCAAATTATGCATAATGAGCAACAGAAGCTGGGTCTTTTGCAAAAAGGAAGGGGAACAAGAAACTGAGGGATGGAAGGGAAAGGACAGGACTATCATGAAAAAAAAATAAGGTATGTTTTGTACCTGTACCAACTCCCCACAAGGAATGTAATCCAATGTATCCATACAATTTTTTAAAGGATTTCATTCTTTTCATTGACTAGATGATTATCTTGGGGAAAAGAAAAACTACTCAAAATAACTGAATTTGGGCCATCACAAGGGAATCCATTCCTTCTTGGACCAGCGATGGAGAAGAGGCACCAGATGGAGGAAGACGTTGAGTGACTGCCTCTGGGTAACAAGCTGAGGACAGGTTTAAAAAATACGATGAAGCTGTGAAGATCAGTTCATGTGAATGCTGCAGCTGAAAACTGTGGCAAGAAGAGGCTAGAAAAGCAAGAAGAGCTGGAAAAGTTTAAAAGCTTGGAAGCCAGGGCAAGTGTTTAAACGCTGGTTCCTCTGTCTGCTGTTACAGTTCCTAGACCTCCCAGGAACAGCCAGACACAGCTGGTAGGCCTAGCATCCTCCGACTCAGCCAGGCAGACCTAGCCTGCACCCTTTAACTGGTTACCAGTTAAGGTAACCAGTCCTGTGATCAAATTCACAGAAGCTGAGGTGGAAAGCGATGCTAGAGGGCAGTTTTTCTTCTTCTCGTGGCTTAATTTCGACTGCTGATAATCTCAAGAATAGATTCAGAAAATGAAAACTCTTCACATCAGATACATCTGATCAATTGCCCAGAAACTAAGGCCTGAAAATAAGACTTTGACACAACTAGCAAGAGGTTAGCAATAACGTTTTGCAGCATACTTTGTGGCAGCTTCTGCTGCCTGGTTTGAGTCAAACAGAAACACGACACACTTACAAATAAGAAAGGAGTGTGGCCTCACTAGCGGCAAGGTCTGCAATCTGTGCTGTTTGGATCTGTGCTCTCACTCACATGAGTGCCCTTCTCAGGTGGCCCGAGGAGTCGCTTCTCGCCCCTGGGAGTTAGGGAGGAAGCGGGCCCCTTGAGAACACTTTCAGGTAGCTCAGAGGGCAGCCTTTAGCGCCAAACAAGACGGGGGCCAGGATGTTCCTGAAGAGCACAGGGACAGAAAAAAGAGCGAAAAGGCAGAAGGCTGCAGGGGAAGGTGAACGTGCCCAGCCTCAGGCAGGGCCCGCCTCTAGTGCTGGCTCTAGCATCTCCAGACTGGACCCTAACAGCGCAGGTGTCATCTTCCTTTCCTACAAAGCCAGATAGTGGCAGCTGCCTTCTGGCTGGTGGTAAGGATTGAACGAGACAGCACACCACAGGTGGTAAGGAGATACAGTGAGAGCTTCATTTTTTAAGTGAAGGACCATTTTGTAGTGAGAAAAAATAGCTCTATCTATCTATCTATCTATCTATCTATCTATCTATCTATCTATCTATCTATATCTGTATATACAAAATAGTTAGCATAGATATACAGCTACTTTCTCTTAGTTCAATGAGAAGAAAGTCTTGTACTAATAGTATTTAGACAAGATATCATGTCTACATCTTGTACTATTAGTAACTACTACGAAGACAACAATATGCAATGTGTTAATTATTGTAACTGTCCTACTAGCCTGTTTTGAAACTTTCTCATTGCTATTTCTTTCTCAATAAAATTAATATAAAAATAAAATAAAATTTCCTACGGTAAAAGGCGCATCGCCATTATTCTCCATAAAAACATTCTCTCTTCCTTCAAACACACATCTTTGAAGCAAAGCAAGCAAGGGAAATATTTTCAGGGGGTTTAGAGATAATGTATCTTTTACTGTAGCATATCTTTAAAAAATTTATTTATAGTTATTTGAGGCAGGGTCTCACAATCCAGTTCAGGCTGGCCTTGAACTCTTTATGTAGCTCAGGCTGTCCCCAAACTTATTCTATTCTTCCTGCCTCAGTGGCTTTAATGCAGGGATTATAGGCATGTGCCACCATACCCATGTCATATCTTTTTTAAAAAATTTAAACATTAGCTATATTTTTGGGTCTTGTATATCAAGAGCTGGTCACATTTTAGGAATTCAGGAAAAGCTAGAAAACCCTGCCTTTTTCTCCAGTATTTTGATATACCAAGCACATTAAAATGTCCTGTTAAAAAGCAGGTCTCCTACCTCTCCCTCTTTCTCAGCACCCATGTAAACACATGCAAC